ACGCTTGGTTGTGCTGCGTGGAGTCGTTTTGTTTCTAGGCCGAGTGCAGCAGATGTGCATACTGTTCAAGAGCAAAATATTAGCAGAACTGCTCAACAGATCCCATTTTTCCTCAGTATGTATGAATAGCACCTGTGGCACGGAAAGGTGATGATGCACACGTCTTCCGCAAGGGACGCCTGCAGTCACTGATCTGGTGGTAATAAAAGCAAAAGAAAACATTACACTTTGTTTTATTCTTAGTGATAGAAGACCTTGACTTTTTCACAGTCGAAAGCAGATTTGTACCTTAAAACTGCAACAGGATGCAGTTTTAACTGTGACTTTTTTTGTGCAGTGCAACTGTTGGCAAACAAATACGTGGTATCTGTTCAGATGAAATGAAGTAATGTTTCAGAGTTTCGTGTTTGGGTGGTTTTCTTAACACCTCTCTGCTATTTTTTTTATTTCAGGGTAACCAACCAAAGAAGTTATGAATATCATCTGTGGTCTAAAGTTGCCGGGCAAGAACTGTATTTTCTTTCATTTAGCTTCTTTGACCAAGCAGGGGAAGTCAAATAATCTCTGTAGGTCTTACGCAGGATATTGCAGAACTCAAGTCAGTTGTACACGAGATACATGCCAAAGGCTGGATTTGACTGGAAATGCTAGAAACTGTTTTTTGACTGGAAGCCCTGACTCCTATAGAAACTTAATCGGTAAAGGACTGAGGTGTCTTTTGAATGTCCCAAATACAGAAGTATACAAGAATGCATGCCACAGCTGGGGAAGGGTTTGCTTCCAGTCTTCTCGTCCACTGGGGGAGAAGATCACATCCCTCCAGATTAGTTCTGTAGGGCAACTCCCACGTAATTTTTCTGCTTGGAACATTCAGATCATCAGGTCTTTTCGCACATCACCATCGTTTCAGGCTGCACCAGTTCCTCTTTTCTGGATTATTGTTAAGCCAGCTCAGAAATTACTTGCTATCATTCTTGGCAGGTAAAATACTCTCTTACTTCCTCTCTCAGTATAAGACTCCATTATGCAAAGATGCATGCATGGGTTTCTGGAGAATGGTAGGTGTATTTGTAGTGTTTTCATTTAATACCTGTGCAAAATTTTTTAGGACTGGGGCCTAGACTGACAATTTGCTCAAGAAGGAGTTGTTTCCATTATCAGAGGTGTTAGATGTATGTTTTGCTCTTCTTGTTCTCCTTTACATGTGGTAGAGGGAGATGAACCAAGACACTAAGGGGGATTCCTTCTTCTCCTGTGGGAGGGAAGAAATGGAGTGGAGTAGAAGCCAATTAGAGTATAACCTTCCATAAGCTCTTGCAGGAGGTGAGACTGTAATATAGAGTATAGCAAGGGCAGACACTAACAAATTCCTTTTTAACTATGTCCTAAGTTGACACTGTTTCTATCTTACAGGAGCATAAGAAATTGGTGGAAGGCACTTCCTCCTAATAAACGGGAACTTTTTAAAGAAAGTGCAAGGAAAAATAAATGGAAGATACTCCTGGGTGTTAGTAGCTTAGGAGTTTTGTTTGTCATGTTTTATTTTACTCACTTGGAGGAGACACCCATCACTGGGCGTGCTCGACTGTTGGTGTTTGGAAAAGAGCATTTTAGGGAACTGTCACAGATGGAATATGATATGGTAAGATTTAAAAAAAAAAAACCTCTGAAATTGTTAATGCTTTTTTTAGTGATGAGATAGTCCAATTAATGAGATGGGCAAACAAACCTAGTAGTGTCCTAATAAGTTTCGAATTTCATGCTTAGAACCCTGCAGAGCACCCCTATCAGTTACCCCCTCCTCTTATCCCCAGCCTTTTTAAGAGTTCCCTTTTCATCAGCAAACCTTTCAGGGACACATGATGGTTAAAGAACACATTATATGTATATAGCAAACAGGTCTAACTGTGTTACTGTCATATAACAAGAAATCTGGTAGAAGCAGTAAAAGCATAGGTAACAGGTACACGCTCAGATCTGTCTCATTTTCTGTGCTGATTGGAGCATTCTTTGGCATGTAAGGTCCTCGCTACTAAACTGTCACTTTGTAAGGTAATACTCTCCACCTGCATTGAATCCTACTTATTTTTTTTTTCATTGGATCAGCTCATTTTTCTTTAATTGCTTTCTTTTAAACTGTCCATTGCACTAATTTCTGTAACTTTGGGTTCTGTGACTCTCTGTTTTAAAGCCAGTGAAACTTGATAATCCATATACAAATGTCACTGTATTCCTGTCTGACAGAGGATGTGAGCTAAGAATAGAAGTACAAGGATATATTCAAATTACATCTTTTGTGTGAATTTGTCCATTTTACAAATTACAACAGAATTATACAGATACAGAAAAATTATAAATTCAAATGGAAATTCAGGAAGGTGTAGAAAGGTTTGCCAAATTGTGATGCCAAGCTTAACTGTGTATTAGGAAAACGTCAGATAAAGGAGCCTGTAGGACCAGTCTTACACTATCTTATTGTTGATCTGTGGTCAGTTTACTTCCTTTTAAGTTTATTAATCCTTAACTTCTGGGTCTGAAAGCCTAAACTCTTTGATATATTGGCTTTGCCTATATGAAAGAAAAATGTGTTAAAACTTAGGTTTAACTAAGTTGTGTGTAGCCACTAAATTAGTTTACCAATTAGTCATTTACTGTGTGTTTGTTCTGCATGGCAATCAATGAATTTTTTTTTTTCAGTGGATGGAGGAATTCAAAAGTAAAATGTTACCTGAGACAGATGTGCGCTATCAGGTTGTGGAGAGAGTTGTTCGTCATTTATCTGAAAGCAATAAGGACGTACCACAGGTCTCAGCACTCAGTTGGGTTATCCATGTGGTAGACGAACCAGGTGTAAATGCTTTTGTGCTTCCAGTAAGTTGAACCTGATACAAAAAGTATTAGTAATATTGAAACAGTGTTTTATTTATGTGTCTTCTACTTAATTATCTCTTTTTGTTTATAGAATGGCCAAGTGTTTGTTTTCACTGGATTGCTAAATGCCGTTTCTGACATTCATCAGCTGTCTTTCATTTTGGGACATGAAATAGCTCATGCTGTGCTGGAACATGCAGTAAGTATTTAAAGGAAGCTGTCTAAAATTCTTAAATGAATTCTAATTACTTTAATTAAGATTTTTCCTATCGCTACCAACCAAAGTTCCAGTGTGACTCTTTCTAATTAATGAAAAATTGAGTTTGAAATGACAGTATTCTGATACAGTATATCCTTATTACTCATGTAGTACTTAATAACTGTCAGCAATCCTGTAGTAGTCAATGTTAGCACGAAGTCTGCTAGTGCTTTTTCATAACTGTACGGATGGATTATGGCTCACTATTAACAGTCATTTAGAACTTGGTCTGGAAATGCCTATCCTCCTATAGCGCAGACATAAAGAACTAGAGGCACTCAGCAACTTGGTTTGTTACTCCTAGACTCATTAATATCTACGAAGTGGATTTAATAAATTAGTCTAAAATACCTGATATTTTTCTTATAGTAGCACACAGTTTTAGAATGCCAAACTCCAGAATGGCTGGACCTTGATTCTGCATTTACAGATGATTGCTTTCACAGACTTAATTGTTCCATATCCTGACATGGATGTGTTGAAATTAGTAGTTCTTTGCCATTTGAACAGAATGGATGTAATAGTTTTGTTGTGCTTTGTAGGTACAACTATGAAAAAAGAGGATGGTATGGAAATATGGCTCATACTGTTCTGGATTGGCATGATTTGTTAGAAAGCGCTTCTTTTTTTCCAAATTGATTTCTTTCTGTGCGTGTCATTTTAAGAAATTGTATTAATTACCTATCCATCAGTTTAGGAAGACATAATGAGAAGCTTGTAATCATAAAGATCCTGCTAAAATTGCAAAGCTAATCTGGAAATGGGTAAATACATTTTGAAGGCAGTGGAAATACAGTAGAATTGCTTACTGCATATTGTATGATTTTGGATAAGCAACAGGTCACATGGTTTCTTGGGTTCAGTTGAGCCAACTAACTTGTTAAACTTCTAAAAAAAAAATCTCTAATAATAAAAAGCACTTACCTTGTTTGTATGGAACCTGTGTCACCTGACTGGCATAGGGAAAAGTATTGCATAATCCGTCTTGTAAGTGCTCGGATCAATTTGTTCCATGTCAAATAGAGCTCTGAAAACCAGAAGAATTTCAGTTTCTTTCTTCAGGTTCTCTTAGTTTCTGAAATTAAAGTAATGCAACAGAAAATAAAGAATAAATATATTATGCCTAGTGTTCCCTTATCCCATTAGTGTTCCTGTCTAAATGATGTCTATCTTTTCTCAAAGTAATGTAAAGAATAGTCTTCTAGGTCTTTTTATAGATTTTTTCGTTCCGACTGAGGTGTTTCATGGCCTTTTTACTAGAGAACTCTGTCTGCCTGCTGTCATCATCTATCTCAACCTTTGAATCTCTCAAATTGGGAGATAGCCAAAATGTATTTGTTCCAGCTGTATTAATGCAGTTGGTGTGGATTCTAGACTGAAAGTACCTTGTATCCAACTGGATTTTTTTGTGCAAGCTGGTGAGCTTGTGCTTGCCCTGTTCCTGTGGCTGCATAGAAAAAAATTAGTGATTTTTACAGTGTTTCCAAATTCTGTTATGTTCTAAAGAAACATCAGACAGTAAGGAATGAAAATGGGACAATTTTTGTTTGCAGGCAGAGAAGGCCAGCCTGGTTCACTTCTTGGATTTTCTATCACTCATCTTTCTCACTATGATTTGGGCCATCTGTCCCCGTGATAGTTTGGCAGTTGTTGGCCAGTGGATTCAGAGCAAGTTGCAGGAGGTAAGACTGACATTTTGTATCAATCTTCCTGAGCTCCAAGGAAAAACATTTTTAATCTTAGGGAGATAGTACCACTAAGAAGCATGTTTGGGGGGAAAAAGGCAAGGAGAAAATATTATAAGCAAAAATTAATATTTGAGTATATTTTTTAATTAAATATGTTTTTATAAATCTGCATCTGCTTTAGTTGATACATATTTTCATTTGTCATCTTCAAGAACTTTAGATCTCTCTAAATCATTGGATTTAACTGAACAGTACCTCCTTGCCAAGTTTCCAAGATAAGAAAATTGAAAATCTAAACACTCTTCTAAAGTATAAACCATGCTATAATAAAACTTACCAAAATAATCTTTTCAGACAGCATATATTCCAATAAAGTAAAATTCAGAGGCTCTGTGGTGCTAGTTTTCTTCAGCAGTCTAATTTACTCTCTGCCTCCAGACAGTCACTGATCTATTTTTTTTTTTAAAAGTGGGTTTTTTTAAAATAAATTGTGCTTACATCATAAAACTTGAATCTGAATTTAACTGAAAGAGCTCTGGTTTCTTTGACTTCTCTTGATGCTTTTCCTGAGATTTCCCCCGGTTCCTCAAAAACATAAAATTAAACATAACCAATCTGTTTTCTTATGCTAATGGATAGATGTGTGGATTCTGAACATAAATTATCTCTAAAGAGCTTGGATATTTGTACAAGCAGCTAAGAAACCAATACATTGATGAATGCTAGCCAGCATTTTGAAGAGCTGAAGTTGGAAAAAGCAAAGTGTGAATCAATCCTCAGACTGCTTATAATTTAGACAGCAAAGTTTAACTCCCTGTCAGCATCTTTTCTCCTCTTCTGTGCTAACTGCAACTGATATTTTGGCATCGTGGATTGGAGTTGTGCTTTAGGTTGCAAATGGAATCTGGGTTTAAGCTCATAGTCATAGTGTGCTATAGGAAAGATCTATCATATATGAGATACTGTACAGTAATGTCCTGGTTTAAAACTCTGATCAAACTCATCTTCAGTAACGTTAAACAAATCCATATGTAATGCAGAATAAATAAGTGACTAATATTGACAAAGCTTTCATCCCATATACAAACGATGCTGAATAGAAATTTTTGTTTCTGTTAGTCACCCAGGACTGCAACATCTGTTTGTTTCCTCCATTCAACATTTGCCTGTTGTGCTTATGTGAAAATGAATCTTCTGCATGTTTTCTCAGGGTGTTTCTTTTCCTCTTCTTCCATAACTGTATTTTACTTTTTAAAGTTTTAGCATCTCACTCTATGAAAGTATTGTTTAAGCCACATTGCAGTACATGCAACTGTTTCAGTATTTTCTTTTATGTCCTCAGAGGCTTAACTTTTTTACCCTACTGACTATTGTTTATATTTTATTATTGACTATAAGTAGTTTCCAGTGACCCTTTGTAGGCCTTTTTGGCATGTTAGCTCCAGTTCTGCTTTTTTCTCCAAAGCTAGTGAGTTTGCTTGCCTGAAGAAATTGTGAAGTTCTCTTATGAGATTCATTCATGGTTGTTCTTTAGTCATGTATTTCTGAACTGAAACACGTTGGCTTTGCTTTTACAGCAGCAGATATTTTATATGGGAACGAAAGCCTAGGTATTATTCTTGGAATAGCACAAAGCACAACTCTGAGTTTTACTCGTGTCCTGCACACTAGTTTGTACAGATACAGTACTTCATACTCCCTTTCTTGTCCACCTCACACCATCAGATTTGTATTTCGTGTGGAAACAGGTCATTTTGGATAATCCACTTACCTGGAACTTCCTTTTCTTTAACATACACAGACAGCTCTGGTAATTGATTTGAAAAATCAACTCTGTCGTCTTTATTATGTCCGATTTCTGACAAGGATTTTAGAGTTTGAAGATCTAATTTTTCATTCCAGCACATTCACAAAAGATTTTAAAAAAAAAATTCATTTTTCAGTAGCAGATTAGTAGTATTGTATGTTAGATGCCTCAAGACTGTCTTATGTGGCCACTGCCAAGACTTTATTGGCTAGAAGCACACTTTGAAAGAGCACCCAAGTTTTCTCAAGAGATCCAGATTATCTTATAGTTTTAATTTTAGATCTGAAGAAGAAACACATAGAATTCTCACAAATTGCAGAGGATGCATTTAAGTCTCTTATGTTAATGAAATTTTGGTAATGATCAGAACATAACAAACCTGGAACCCTACTTGATCATAAGCCATATCTAGTATAAGAATTGCTATATGGAATCACATCAGAGTCTGTTTAGGCTTGTAACTTGTCTGTGACTGGCCAGTAGCAGATACATAGGGAAGAATAAAGGAAATAGCAGCAATTATAGGGTGATAGTTTCTTCAGATGCCATCCCTGTTTCCCCAGTCTGCAGCATGGGTAGGTCCTGGACTAGAGATTGCATTAGTGTTGTGTTTATTTTTAAAAATACAGCCATGTTTTTGCAGGTGGTATTGGGATAGACATACAGGTAAAGAGTCATACCCTAATGCTTAACTGTAAATGCAAATGAAACTATTTAAGGGGTAAGAGTTTAAACGCTGATCTTTTTATTACCATCTTCCTGCTGTCCCAGGTCTCTCTTTCTAGATGGTCTATTAAGACACATGCATTCAGACCCTCAATTTCCTAGTTCTTAAACTTCTGCAAATCTTTTTTTGAGGTGGATGCTACCCCTTCTTATTTAAAGTTGTTGTAAACATCCCAGAGGAGAAAACCACAAGTGGTTGTAACTGAAGAAATAGAAAGCTGCCTGCTTGTGTAAGCCTTTGTTCCAGTTAGTGTTTTGGGTAGTCCTGTTGCCTGTTACCAGTTTCATTTCCCAGTCTGAGAAATGTTTAATAATTAAACAAATAGTTTATCTGGCTGACTGGGAAATAGTGCTTCAGGAATACGTGACAGACTTCCCAGGCATATCTTTGCTGTTTAGTGAATATATGCACACCAGTAGACCCAGAGCACTTTTCAAGGCAATAGAAATATATATTTCACTTCAAGTAATGACTTTATCATCAGAGGATTTTAAAAACATATTTATAATTGCAATGTTTAAGGTCTGTAAGGAGACAACCTCATCTGTGGTTACTTATAAACCAGCGTATTTGGCTTTGAAAAAAACCCTGTAAAGGATCAGCTTTGGTTGGTTTTTATTTTTGTGCTAGTAAAGAAAAACTATCAGTACTACTTTAGAAAGAAGCAAAAAGTTACAGATACCTTTATGTACTCAAGGGATTGGACCACTTCTTTGGTGCTCTTCATTTCTACCTGTTTCGTCTTTTTGTCTTTTTTGTGGAACTTAGGAGGAGGACATATTTTTATAACCAAGTAAAGAGCTGATAAAACCTCTTTCGCTTCACTAACCTTGCACATCCCCATTCTTCATTTGATATTTCCTAGTTGATGCCTAAACCAAAATGTTGTGACATGTTCCTTATCTCTGCAGGAGCAGCCTGTTTTAACAAGTCCTGATTTGCATTTACTGTAACCTGATATACTAGGCCAAGGTTGCCCAAGTCTACATGAATTACATATGCCAGAAGATACTGGTATATATGACTAAATAACTATTTGAGAAAACTACCGCTGTCTCTTAGTGTGTGTTAATACAATGTCATACCCTAGAAAAATGGGAGAGGAGTTGGTCAGATTTATGTCTTCTAGTTTGATTTCTCAAGGGCAATTTGCAACTTGTGTTGGGGGATAATCATGACAAAGGAGTGATTCCTGCATGAAAATGTTAATGGCTACATTCCATACTGTGGGCTGTTTACAATACAAAATAGATCATACCAGGTGATCTATACCAATAGATCTATACCAGGTGATAGATCATGCTGTGAGACTGGCTGATGTGAGGGGCCATGAAAATATGTATAATTTGAATTAATTTCCACTGAATACAAGATCAATTAATTACAGATAATGGAATTAAAGATTACATTAAGAAAATTAGTACTGGTCACATGCAATGTGAACACGATAGATAAACACCATTTCTTATGAGAAGGTTAGAAAAATAGCTACAATGCTCTAGGTTTGTACACGTTCCAAACCAAGTGGTAGAGCTTTAATGTGCCTCTTTGCAGTTTATGTTTGATAGACCATACAGCAGAACATTGGAGGCTGAAGCTGATAAAGTGGGACTTCAGTTTGCAGCAAAGGTAACTATAACTGGTTTGTTTTATTAGCAGTTTACCAGACACTTTTCAGTTTCTGTTATAATCAGAGGGAGTTTCACACTTCATACAGAACTAAACCGTCTGTGGGACGGTTCCCGAATTTTCAAAGGTACGTAGATTAAAGAAGTAATGGGAAATAAAACAGTTTGT